CAAATATTTAATTTAACATTTAAGCATAAGCAACAATAATAAAAGATTGTAAGCATTAAAATAATGTTATTTATAACAAACGCAAAATAAAGTTGAAAAATATGTAAAAAAAATTGTACATTTGTATTTATTATACATAAGTTCTGTATACAAATATTCCACGTTTGGTCAGTTTACATTAACATGAGTTCTATAACATGAGACGGCTGCCAGTGGCATATTAAAAGTACTTGGGCATTTAGCTAAGTTGCAAACCACTAGTAAAATCTCTCATTGTTATGCGTGTGGCTAGTGTTTTATTTCCTCTTATCGTACTTAGTGGATCGAACGCCGATGAAGCTTTGGATTTTGTGTGAGCACAAACAGGCTTGTTGTTCCCATGTTGTCAGAGAGTAGTTACTATTTTAACAGTCGCTCTCTTCGCTTGAGTTGGGCGTAATCCAACTTGAGAGATGCTAATTGGAAAATGTAAGTACTTCAATCGGAATAAGACACAAAAAAATTTAGCTTTGCAATGCAAAGTAAAAATTTTATTGGTTGCACTGTTATAATTTCTTTTTCATAATGAAGTTTAATTTGTAATTAGACTGTAATTTGATTTAAGTTTTTTTTTTTTAATTGGAATGAATGTTTGCATATAGTTAAAGTTCATTTAAAACGATTTCTAGTTGAATGTGATTATAGTTTAGTATATAGTATCAACTAACTTTTTGTTGTCGCTATGAAATTATTTGTTTCTCTTCATCTTCATCTTCGTTTTTTTTTTTTTTTTTTTAATTCATCCAAAATCTGTTGTCAATTTTTTGTTTTTATAGCGCGTCGCATGGTCTAAATTTGTGATTCGATTTTATTTTCATTCGTTTTAGTTAAACTCCTTTATTTTGTTGAATTAATAAATTTTCAATCTTTTCTACGAGTTAAGTAATTTAATTTTATAATTGTTAATTACGTTTTAAGAAATTGACAGCAATTCTTAAGTATTTGTATAATTTATAATTATTCATATTCATTTTTAAAATATTTGTATATAAATTTTGATGTTATGTAAATTTCCGAAAATTTCTTCTTCTTCTTCTTCGTCATTTGTATTTGTATCTTATATCTTGTTAAATATTTGTAATAAATTTCATATTAAAAAAAGGAGTTTTTGTTTTCAACCTAAACGGGTTCGACACCATTCCAACTACTAGATCCAACTAGACTTTTCACTCGAATATGAATTGTTGAAATTTACAGTATTAACTTAATCTCACATTGCGTACAACTCACACCCGTTTAGGTTTGATTTTATAATAATGTATTGAATACTGGCTTATGATTATATATATTTTATATATTTATATAAACAACGGTCCTTTCAAAATATTTTCTACTTAGCTACAATTGTTACTATTTTTAATTTGTTTCCACAAGCAATAAACATTTTAACGTGAATTCAGAACATTTTCTTGGCGCCTGTCTCTCAAACTCACCACGAGCACACACACACACACATAAAGATGTTTTTTTTTTTTTTTCTCAACACTGGCACGCAATCACACGCCTGGCAATCCGCACACATACGCACAGCGTCGCAGACAATTCGCCAGTGTGATCCTGTCTCGATGTTGCTGAGCTGCGGTGGGCGCAAATTGTCGAACGTCGCAGCCCTGGTTGGTTGGGCTTGATTGGCTTGATCTTCGTGTGTTGGGCGCCAATAGTACACGTGTGTGAGTGCTTGCCAGGCGTGAGTGCGTGTGCGTGTATGGAGACTTGCTATGCTTTTCAAAACTTGCTTAAAGAGACCGTGCGCTCGTGTGTGGGTAAATCTTTCAATTCCACCACACTAACTGCAGGTCTGTGTGTGTGTGCGTGTGCTGTGTCGAGGCGCCAACCAGACTAATACATAAATCTATATAATATATTTGAATTAAGTGTAAATATTTGTTTCATATAAGTATTAAATGTTATGTAGAGAGAAAGTTGGGTTTTTGCAAATCTTACTTAACTAGATCTTAGAACTTTTTATTTGAAATTTTATAATAATTAATTTATAATTTGTTTTGGCGAATTTGCCATTGAAAAACAAGATAAAAATATTGCAATTCGTTTTTTTTTTTTATATATTGTTGTTTATTATTTCATAACAATTATATTAGAGGTTAAGAAAATTCAATTAGAAAAGAATAATACTTTATTATAATTAAAATAATATATAGAGAAAAAAAAAAAACACAAACCATAAAAAAGACTGCAAATTTAACTTAACGTGTATTTGGTTAGAAATTGCACTCACACACGCACATATCTATGTACATATATCCGATTATTGTGAATTGTTATTATGATTATATTCATATATATGTCAGAGATTTATGTAATTAACATGAGAATTTAACATAACAGGAGTATGTTAAGATAACAACATGAAAGTCAAATGTTGATAATGTAGCAATTCTTTGCGATGTTGTAAAACTTCATAGACTGTGTCGCTACATAGACCATAGATCAACGGTTAGCGGTAAATTCTATGTCAAGAACGAGGCTCAAGAGCGAGAGAGATGCCGAGAGATTGAAGTAACAACGACACAATCGCGACTCGCTGCGTTCGAAGCAAAAGAATAAATATCGTTTGCTGTAATACAAATTTATCATGGAGAAAATAACTCTGAGCCATCTCCGACATATATATATATATAGCTATTTGTATATATGTATATA